CATCTTTAAGACCAAGTTCTATAGGAACCAGCTCTGGCTTCTCTCTCAGGGCAGATCTGCTCATTCCCCCCCACCCCCATAGCCAGTAAACCAAAACAGTCCAGTGGCATCTTTAAGACCAAGTTCTATAGGAACCAGCTCTGGCTTCTCTCTCAGGGCAGATCTGCTCATTCCCCCCCACCCCCATAGCCAGTAAACCAAAACAGTCCAGTGGCACCTTTAAAACCGAGTTTTATTCAGGTACAGGCTCTCCCTCCTCTGTGAGGACAGATCTCACCCCCAGCTATTAATCCAAAACAGTCCAGTGGAGCCGGAGCGGTGTATGCTGTCTTCTGACACATGTCCGGTGATGTCAGGGGCTGTGGCCTTCTGTCAGGGGTGTGGCATATGCTAATGAGTTATGCTAATGAGCTCCTGCAGCTCTTATTCTATGAAAAGACCCCTGCCCGGGAGCAACTGGTTCCAGCCACCCTTGCTCCTAGCACAGCAATGCCTCTGGCCCAGCCCCAGCCCCCCCTGGGAAATTGGAAAGTCTACGCCCATGCCTCCCTGTGTCTTCATTTCAGAATATTCTGGTCCACTAGAGCATACTGCATGATTTCAGAACATAGAAATTAGAGTATTACAGTTTTACCTGACAGAAGCGTAGTAGCTGAGAACCTCAGTTATAAGAAAGCAAAGGGCACCCTCTGTTACAGACCACATCCCTCTGAAGTATTACAGAGCCAGAAACCGTCAGAAGGCCTTTGAGACGACAGAATGTTTTGCCCTTAGATTTGTGTCACTCTGTTGGTCACTTGTGAAAACTCCTGATGAATCTTTTGTTCTATGTTTTACAGAAGGGCTACCGAAAAGAAGATTTTGTTGGCCTGTAAGGACAGTGGCTTCTGATATTTACAGAAAATGGACTGTCTGACCCTAACAGCTCTCCACAAAAATATTTTGAAGTGCCATTGTAAATGGCCATCATTCTGCTTCATAAAGTTCCTTGCTTACAACTCCCATCTTTTTCATACGTCTCAAACCAATTGGACTGATCTTTTTTTAATTTTTGCATTTGTTCTGGTTTCTTCTTCATTCCTGTTGGAAGCTCCTTTTCCCTGCTGGCCACCTGATTTCATCGGAACATTTTGTAAAGCCACAAGTCAGCGTCAAGGCAAATTTTCAAGACTTCCACACCAATATGGAACTCTCAGTTTCATCCCCATTACTTTACTGGGTGGGCTTGGATTTTGGGTGGTTCTCTGGAATTCATGGATGCTGATAGGGTAGCAGGCCTTTCACGTGGAGGTATACTGAGGGAATTCTTCGGAGAGGCCCTGTACCATTAACGGATACATCATCTGCTTTCATGAATTTCACTCTCTGGAGCCCTGCTAGAATTTTGCCCACCCTGCCCAGGACCCCCCCCCCCCCAAAAAAATTGCTTGCTTTTCATTTTAAAAGATTAGGAGACCTTATTTCAAGGTATGAACAGATTTTATAGAAAAATTATACCTACGCAATAGGATACATGGGGAAGACCATTTATTTCTGGTGGTATTAGACTCACAGCAAGTGTTAAGTCCAAGTTTTGAGATTGCACTGACCAAAAAGTAGGGCCGAATGCACTGGAGTATAGCTTTGTTGGAGTTGGGTGGTGGATACTTTTAGTTTCGGTTACTTGATAAGGTCAGGGACATAAGGATCCTAGAGGAGGAAGAGAGAATTTTCTAGCTGGTACACGGAGCTGCGGTGGCTCAAGTGGTTAAGACGCTGAACTGCAGGCTGTGGAAGGTCGGTAGTTCAGCAGTTCGAGACCCGAGTGTGCCGCATGATGGAGTGAGCTCCCGTCTCTAGTTCCAGCTCCTGCCAACCTAGCAGTTCGAAAGCAAGAAACTGCAAGTAGATAAATAGGTACCACTTCGGTGGGAAGGTAACAGCGTTCCGTGCGCCTTGGTGTTTAGTCATGCCGGCCACATGACCACGGAAACGTCTTCGGACAGCGCTGGCTCTTCGGCTTTGAAACGGAGATGAGCACCGCAACCCTAGAGTCGGATTTGACTGGCTTTCGAGCAAGGGAACCTTTACCTTTACTTTGTACACATCCTATGCCTTCTTGTATTTGTATGTGGTTGTTAGTTCTGGACAGAAAGGTTAGGGAGAAATTAGGGACAGGGCACACTAGGCTAAGAGCCCCCCCCCCCCCCGGTGAAGCAGCCTGAGGGTGAACTTCATAGTGGTTTGTGCAGAATTTTGCTTTCTCTCTATGCTGTCAAGATCGTCTAGTCAATGCAAAATGCCTGGGCCTTAAGTGCTCACCTGGTAGAAAAGGGCTGCAGGTCTCAATCCAGAGTACTTTTCATGCATGCAGCAATCGGCTACACTCCAAAAGGTGGCTTTTTCATCACGCAAGATGATCACTTGCTGGTAGGAGGAATGGAGGAAACGACTTGGATGACGATCAGTCGTGTTAGCTCTCCCATCCCTAGTCTTTCCTTAGGGGGGGATGCATACAAAACACAGGAGGACCGTGTTGGCATCCTGGCAGCTAGATGTGGGGTACTGTATGTTCTATGAATCAGGTGACATGCAAATAGAGTGATCGTGCCGGTGGAGGATTTTCCTTCAATCCAGTCAAAAAGAACCCAGCAATTTAGATGGAACACAGACAGAGAGTGCCATCCTAAGCAGAGTTATACCCTCCTAAACCAACTGATTTCAGTAGACTTAGAAGGGTATAGCTTGGATTGTGCTATGAATACGTCGTAACCAGGGGTCGTTTGGGGCCGGAGCATGCTGGAGCTCTGCTCCGGCAGCCCAGGAGCAGGCACAAATGGCGGTGGCGGCAAGCCCCACCCCCTTCTCTCTAGAGTTGCGCTGCCGCTGTGGTGTGACTCCAGAGAGAAGAGGTTTAAACTTTAAGCCCCTTTTCTCTTTGCTTTCCCCCCCAGCCTGCCTTGGCAGGCCGGCTGGGGAAGAGAAGGGGAGGCTTTTGAAGATGCCTCCCCCCTCCTTTTGCTTCCCCTTCTGTCATCACTTCCGGTGATGTCAGGGGGTGTGGCATATGCTAATGAGCGATTCTGCTAATAGCCTATTAGGTATGTTGATGAGCTCCTGCAGCTTTTTTTCTACGAAATGACCCCCGGTCGGAACTATAGCAGAGTCAGATCCTCTTTAACTAGTACCCCATCAGACTCAAGGCACTTTCACGCATGCTAAATATTGCACTTTCAGTGTACTTTGTAACTTTTTTACTGTGTGAAATGGCAAAAGGCACTTACAAATTATTGTTAAAATGCACTGAAAGTGAGCTGAAAGTGCATTATTTCAGCATGTGTGAAAGCACCCTCAGTCATGTTTTCTGGGTCACAGTACATTAAATGAAGAGCAAAATCTTATAAGGACCAAGATAAGTTAAAATGAACTGTCACACCTGCAGCAAGTAAGCATTTCCACCAGTGTTCCCTCTAAGCTGAGTTAGTGTGAGTTAGCTCACAGTTTTTTAGCCTCCGGCTCACCCATTTTTGTCTTAGCTCAGAGAGGATGGCTCCAGAGCAAACTAATTTATGCAGTAGCCAAATCGCTCACTCACAACTTTAATCCCAGTGGCTCACGCAGTCAAATTTTTGCTCACAAGACTCCACAGCTTAGAGGGAACATTGATTTCCACATGTGCCAATATTTTACACAGAATCTTTCACACAGTCCAGCGATGGAGGTATGTTAGAACTATCATAGCAGAATGCCGGCTGCCGGGAAGATTGCTTGCCAATCTCCTGCAAACGAGCTCTGAACTACCTGGGAGCTGCATTGGCTGTTGCGGAGCGATTGTGGTGGCAAGGCACACTTTCGGTCCCACTATACCACTGTGGCCATCTTCTGTCCTCTTAAATGTGTGAATGAGGAAGTTGAAGGTTGTAACATCTGATTCCTGCCCCAGTACCAGATATCTGCCCTGTGGCTTATTGAAAATGGATTTAGTGAGTTTCAGCCCCATCAATAGATTGCTTTTCCTGACTAGCTGAAAGAGCCAGTGATAAGTTTTCTCTTACTGGTGTACTGAAATCTTAACCGCGCTGTTTTTTTGATGCGCCAGCAAAAGTTCAGGGTATCTGTCCACATGAAAGGGAAGCACACAGAGATGAACAATGTGCCTTAAATAACGATTTCTGTCAGGTCAGCACAGACTGCCCTTTGACTGCAGAGATGAGATGGGGGGAGCTGCTGTTTCCATTCCCCAAAGGGTCCTGCTATAATTGTTACAAATTTACCCTCGCATGGGTATGAGACCAAACTTTTGCTTAGTCACAATGAGAAGTCATATGGGTCCAACAGGCAGCAACTAGGGGGTTAGGGTTAGGGTGGATTCTCCTGTATATAGTGTATATAGGCTTTCTCTCCCCAGCTGCATAGGGGGATAGGCTATTTTTTTCTTCTTTCCTAAAAGGGCTATTTTTCCTATTCCAAGATAATTTTGCCACCTGCATGCTTCCTTGGCAATTACAACTGTGCAAGTGGAAAGCAAAACGTTAAGAACGGAAGAGGATTCTTGAGCAGTTGGCATCTTGCTTTTGTGAAATGTTTTCCCTTCCAAACCACCTGCCTAATTTCCACACCTGATCGTCTATATATAAAATGAGGGCCCCGGTCACACGGGCCAGATAACGCCGGGGGGGGGAGGACGCGTGGCTTTTCGCGCTGGTGCAATTTAATGCACCATTTAATGCAGTGATCAGATGCGGTGGCAAATTGGGGTTTTGTTTTTCAGCGCGCGTTTTCAACACAGCGAGAGGAGCGCGCTTGAGCGATCACACGTAGGTATTCCATTGACGGCCCATAGCAAACCGTTTGCTAGTAGGCTTTCCCGGGTATTTTTTCACTCCGGATCTTCAGGCAGATGCTACAGGTCGGTGATGGGCGTGCTACGCTTACCAGATGTGTCCTTGTGATCGTGCCCATATACTCCGCCCGACATCCGTGCCTCTTCCGCGGCAAATCCTCCGTGTGACCAGGGCGAGGATGGATGCACAAGTTGCCCTCCCTCTAGCTGAAAACCACACATTTTTAAGATAGGATGTTTGAGATCAGTGCCCAGAAATAGAGATCTTACACCTTCGTGGAGCTCAGCTGGGGGAATAAGGAAATGCTTCAACTGGTGCTCGGCCGGTTGATCAAGTGCCTAAAACCACTCCTCTTTTGCTTGTTTACTGCCTCCATTATTCCTTTGATTCCCACAGGCTCTGCTCTCCCAAATGCAGCCATGTTTTCTTCATCAAACAAAAGTCCTGTTAGCAAACTTGCAGTCTTACAATCTTACAATGAAGTCTGTTTGCTGTAACCCAAGGAGAAAAATTGGTTCAACAACTGTTGACAAGGAAAACACAGACACATAGCTTTGGCCCGTGGCACAGTTTGTCTATAAAATGCATATGGTTACAACACAGAACAAAGAATGACCGTATCTTTGTGCAGATACAAGGCTCTTAGGACCATTGCCTTTTGGAGAAGCCCTGACGGCTACCCCTAGTACATTCACTGTTGCAGCAACTTCTACTCACTTTCAGGGGGCGTGGAGCATTGAATTACATGATAAATAGCTGATATGTTATATCCAAGACTGTGGATCAACTACAGCAGTTCTAATGAGATGGAAACACCCTAGAGCAAGCTGGGAAGGCTCACTTCTTGAATGGAACCCATGGGGTGACCAGCCGCAGAGGATATGGAACCTATATCCTTAATACCTATGTAGAGAAGGGATTTCATCCAGTACAGCTTTTCTTATCCCAGCATAAGCAGCTGGACCTATTCAGATTCTGTGCTTCCGTTATAGGAGCCCTGCCTTCCTTTGCTTCTGGTGTCCTTATTGAGGCACCAGGGTAGATATGCCTCTCACTGAAATCAGGGTATAACCCATCCCCCAAAGTGACAAGCCAATCAGAGAACAGATCCTATTTCTGGTGATGCCAAGGTTGTCGTCTTCTCCACCACTCAACTGTGTACTTACCTCAGTTCATACTCTCTAACTCTAAGATTAATTTGTGTGGCAACCTAAATAAAGATCTTGAGTATTGCCTGTTGCTTTTGTTTGCTTTTTTGCAGATGTGCAAATACCATGTCTACACATGGTTAGCAATCATTCCCTTCCCATAGACAGTCTTGGGCTCTGTTGATCTGTAGTTAAGGATCTTTACTGTAATTCTCAACAACTTCACAAAATTACAATTCCCAGGATTTCTGGGGAATCCAGCTGTGCCAACCAGAGTTCCCTCTAAGCTGAGTTAGTGTGAGCTAGCTCACAGTTCTTTTAGCCTCTGGCTCACACATTTTTGTCTTAGCTCAGGAAGGATGGCTCCAGAGCAAACTAATTCATACAGTAGCCAAATCGCTCGCTCACAGCTTTATTGCCAGTAGCTCACAAAGTAGAATTTTTGCTCACAAGACTCCAAAGCTTAGAGGGAACATTGGTGCCAACTGTATATAGCAGCTAGGTCCAAATACTACAGTGTGGGGAGTAGGGAAACACAGTCAGCCTACTGGGCAGTTGTCTGCCCGCCCACACCAAGGCTAGTGTGGTACACGCCCATCCATGTTTGGAATAGGGAAGGGAAAACAATGTCATAACCCTAAAATACAGGAAAATCCTTTCCTCTCCAGACCGATTGCAAGAAAAAAAGTCTTCCCAAAACTTCATGCTATTAAGTACCAGTCAGGACCTTGAACTAAATTTTGAGTACCTGTGAAACACTTTGGTATGGGCCTGGGTCTAGCCTCATTGCTATGACAGAAATCCCAAGCATTCTATAATCTCATCAACATGACATCAACAGAATGCACTTTTCCATCTGTGTGTTTATACTGAACAAGAAAGGGACCCACGATACTCGGCGGGGG